CCATCTGCCAGGTGCCAATGTACCACAGGTGGTACCCGTACCACTGGTTGAAAAGCCCTGGACTAGATGACCTCCACGGTCCCAACTTTATTATTATTATTATTATTGTTGTTGTTGTTAACCTTTGGGAATTTGGGGGTCTCTTGTGGTCTTAAGCCCAGAATTACCTGTGTAATCCTTTTGGAGAGAGAAATGAATGTGAGAGTCTGGCTCTTTTTCTCCTGGATAGGGGTTGGGGACAGATGGCTGGGATAGAAAATGCACCCACAGCAGGTGGGGAAATTGAGTGCCAGGAAAGAGAAAAAAACAGCATTCTTGAAAATTTGGGCTGGATTTGGTCCTTTCCAGGCTGCCACGCTGTAGAGAGAAAAAATGTTGCCTTCACTCGTAATTGGATTTATGAGTGCGTTGCGGGCGTCATGCGCTATTGTCAGCAACTCCGCAAAGTGAAGTCTGATTGTTCCTGCTGTTACTTTTCATCACCGCTGTCACTATGAAATACAGGTAACATTGGGGGTGGGGGGGCAGGAGAGGGAGGGGGTCAGAAAGGCAGGAAAAATGGGCCCAGGGGAGGCTATATTTCACCCCGTTGTAAGTGAAAACATACTGGTAAGTAACTCTGTCTTGGACCGGGAGTTTCATATTTTACAACGTTGACTGCTCAGGACTGGAGCTGAATCCCATTTACTCCGAAGGCATTCTTTTGGAAAAGGGACATGAGGTCTGCAATCAATCCTTTCCCTTTCTTTCTTCCCCCACCCCCTCCTTTTCGATCCGTACCATTACGAGAAAAAAGAAAAATAATCCCCATCACACAATGCTCAGCACCTTATTTCCCACTGAATCTTTCTGTGGGCAGCTGCCGTTTCCTCGATCGAATATATCACGATGAGAACTGGTAGGGGAGCCACGATGGAGGGTGTAACGGGGCAGCTGGCCATTCTTATTGTTACTTGTGAGGAGGAGAGAGAAAGAAAGAAAGAAAGAAAGAAAGAAAGAAAGAAAGAAAGAAAGAAAGAAAGAAAGAAAGAAAGAAAGAAAGAAAGAGGAAGGAGGGAAGGAAGGAAGGAAGGAGAAAGAAGGAGGAGGAGGTGGAAGAAAAGAACTGTGGGGTCCTTGATGCTCTCTGAGCTTGGTTGTTTTCTTGCAGACGTTTCATTACCCCTCTAGGTAACATCATCAGCATTGATGACGTTACCTAGTTTGGATCATGAAACATCTACAAGAAAACAAACAAGCTCAGAGAGGAGCAGCGAGGCCCCTCTGATATTGAACTGTTTCACATCCAGTTCCACAAGGATAATAATAATAATAATAATAATAATAATAATAATAATAATAATAGTAGTAGTAGTAGTAGTAGTAGTAAAGTTGGAAGGGACCTTGGAGGTCATCTAGTCCAACCCCCTGCCTTGAGCCTTGAGACAAAGCAGTGGGGAAGGGCTGGTCACGAGCCGATGTGCTTCATCTCACACTATTGAGAAAGGACCTCTCTGGAGGATCTCCGAAATGGACGGGCTACAAGAACGCGCAACAGACAGACCCCTTCGGACTCAGACTGGATGGCCTCGCGGTCTCCCTGAGAAGAATGACACAAGACTTGAGTATTCAGCCATCGACAAGAAAAGCTGCATCTGGCACATCTTTGATGAGCAGGACAGGGCGAGGACCTTCTCACCACGAGCCCTAACAATAATTAGCACTTAGCGCTGAGTGCTTTTCATCTTCAAAAGCAACTCGGGGATGCTAATTAACCCACTCTCCTGGAAAAGCCTGCAAAAAGTGGCTTTTCACATCGGGCTGATCATCTTATCTTTACACCAAGCTAGTCAATAGTCTTCTAATCACACAAAAACATTCTGCAAAGACGATGGCGGGACAAGCTATTCTGCAAAGCACCAAAAGGCAGGACAAGAAGCAACGGATGGAAACTCACCGAGGAGAGAAGCAACCTAGAACTAAGGAGGAATTTCCTGACAGGGAGAACGATTAAACAGTGGAACAGCTTGCCACCAGAACTTGAGACTGTCTAGAAAGAGTGCAGAGAAGAGCAGCAAAGATGATTAGGGGACTGGAGGCTAAAACATACGAGGAACGGTTGCTGGAATTGGGGATGTCTAATTTAATGAAGAGAAGGATGAGGGGGGACATGATAGCAGTCTTCCAGTGTCTCAGGGGCTGCCCCAAAGAAGAGGGAGTCAAGCTATTCTCCAAAGCGCCTGAAGGAAGAACAAGAAGCAACGGATGGAAACTCAACAAGGAGAGAAGCAACCTAGAGAACTAAGGAGAAACTTCCTGACAGTTATAACAATTAAGCAGTGGAACAGCTTGCCACCAGAACTTGAGACTCTAGAAAGAGTGCAGAGAAGAGCAACAAAGATGATCAGGGGAGTGGAGGCTGAAACATACAAGGAACGGTTGCTGGAATTGGGGATGTCTAATTTAATGAAGAGAAGGACCAGGGGGGACGTGATAGCCATGTTCCAATCTCAGGGGCTGCCCCAAAGAAAGGGAGTCAAGCTCTTCTCCAAGGCCCCTGAAGGCAGGACAAGAAGCAACGGATGGAAACTAATCCAGGAGAGAAGCAACCTAGAACTAAGGAGAAACTTCCTGACAGTTAGAACAATTAACCAGTGGAACAACCTGCCTCCAGAATCTGTGAATGCTCCAACACTGGAGGTTTTTAAGAAGAGGCTGGACAGCCATTTGTCTGAAATGGTTTAGGGTTTCCTGCCTGAGCAGGGGGTTGGACTAGATGACCTTCAAGGTCCCTACCAACTCTTTTATCCTGTGTTAGGTCAGATCAGGACCACTTCTGGATTTGAGGGGAAATAATGACACCCCCAACCTGCAAACGCTGCTTTGCACAGCTTCACAAAGGAGGACGTGTGGAGAGATGGTTAAGATTGTTTGTGATTTATGCCCGTGATTCTGAACATGGCGCCCTGGGGAATTCTGGGAGTTGAAGTCCACCCATCAACAAGTCGCCAAGGTTGAAGAAGTCTGCTCCGTGCCGTCAAACAGACCGATTTTTAAGCGACTTCTGAGATTTCCCTTCAGGCCAGGACACACCACTTTCCTTTGACTGGAACTGATTCCTTGCCTTCCTGTTATTTCCTGTTTTTTGTTTTCAATAGGCGCCCTGATATTTCATCCAATGTCATCACCGGGGAGGGTAAACCCTAACCCACCCCCCAAAAAAAAGATGCAGGAAAGGGGAGGAGGAAAGATAATTCTATTTTCTGCCCCCCTTTTGAACAAAACAGGCCGCTCTTGGTTGATTTCCTCTGCCGTGTACATGGGGTGGGTCAATCAATCAAATTATAAACTGCCCGGAGATATTGGCGGCGTATCAATTGACAAGCAGTCCTCGAAATTACGACCACCGTGGAGCCTGTTGCTCAGTGAGACGCTTGTGAAGTCGGTTTTGCCCCGTTTTGTAACCTTTCTCGCCACGGCTTTTAGCCGAATCTCTGCAGCTGTTCAGTTAGTGGCACGGCCGTTAAGCGAATCGGGCTTCCCCCATTGGCTTTGCTTGTCGGAAGGTCGCACCAAGGGAATCACGTGACACCCCCGGGGACGCCGTGACCGTCATAAATATGAACCAGTTGTGCCAACCGTCCAAATTTTGATCGCGTGACCTATGGGGATGCTGCAACGGTCGTGAAGAGTGAACGCCGGTCCTAAGTCTCTTTTTTTCAGTGCCGTCGTAACTCTGAACGGTCACTAAGTGAACTGCGTTGCTCACTTAATGGCGGCAGTGATTCCGTGGCCAGAAAAGTTGTAAAAATGGGGCAACACTCATTTAGCAACTGTCTCACTTAGCAACAAGAACGTGGGCTCCATGGTGATCGTCAGTCGAGGGCTACCTGTAAGGCTGGCTTGATGTCCCATCGGTGGGTTCTTGAGGAGGTACATTTTTGGGGCCAATCTGTGGACAGAATGACAGATAAATGTCTGTGGAGATTGACAGTCATCCAGGTCATGGTTGTCCCAAAGGTGCTTTTTCAGAAGGAAAATGGACTCCCTTGTTTTTCTTTGAAGACGTTTCGCTCCTCATCCGAGAAGCTTCTTCAGGTTCTGACTGAATGGTGGGGGAACGGAAGGATTTATACTCCTTGCAGACAGCTGGTCATTTACATTCTTTTCAGAGAGTCGTTGAGGCCACTTGGGAGGTTTATCTGTCTGGATCTGATATCATCTACCTAACATAGTCCTTTCAACAGTTCCAAGAAGGCTCCACCCCCATTTGCACGACTCAGGTGACCCTGAGGACACAGGGTCCCTCAACGACGCGCTCAGAGAATGCAAATGACCAACTCTCTTCAAGGAGTATAAATCCTTCCATTTCCCCCCTCCCCCATCCAGTCAGAGTGTCATGGCTCCGACGGATGAAGCTCTTCAAAAGAACTTTGAGGTATTATTAACCTTAACAAACCTTTATTTTGAGTAGCATAACACCGGCACTGCATAATGGAAGCCAAAAACTGAATCCCCCTCCCCTGAGCACATAGGATCAAAGCACAATTCCCTCCTCCAATTAACATAAATCACATTAGCTTGAAACGAGGGCTTCCTCTCCAGTTCTCCAGCCTGCCAATTCCTTATCAGTTCTGGTTACAATAACCTTGTTTCTCACGCTAGGTTTAGTGTTGTTATGTCTAGCTGGACTCTCGTTCACATCCTCCCCTCTCCCTGCATCATCTCACTCTACAAGCAAAAGGTAAAAGAGGGCTACGTTTCCCTCTGTGGTCAAAGCAAGAACATCCGATGTGAGCAGCGTCGACACAGAGCTGAAGAAGCTTCTTGGAGGAGAAGCCAAATATCTTCGAAGAAAAACAAGAGAAATTCAGTTGCCTCTTGAAAAAGCACCTTTGGGAGAATGCCAGCTAAATCAATCTAGATCTGATCCAGGAGAGCAATGTTGGTGGTCTCCCAACCTTACAGGACAGACCACAGAAGACCACCAAGCCTAATCAAACCGAAGCTGATTTACACACCTGATAATGGGCAAGAGTGTTCAACCTCTTCCAGTCGTTTTCAATCTTGGTGGTGAGATCTTCATCCTGAAGGATTGTTCTGGTCCCGTTGGCCTGCCGCCATTCTGTGAGGAAAGAGAAACGCATGTCAGGCCCACAAGCCAATGGACAACGTTTGGGGGGGAGAACCGTGACACGGTATCTGCAGGGAACGGAATGATTCCGAGCCCGGAATTGCAGGTGGGGAGGTGAAGATAAAGAGTTTCTTATTTTTGAGTTGTTGGTGTGGGTGCGTTTGCGTCGTAACCATGCCTTTCCCAACGAAATGGAAGTTGCGATGGCCATAATGTAACCGGTCCAATTTCCTATCAGGTCTTCTTCTGTGGAACCATCATCACGGTTGGAATAATCAATCAATCAATCAGAACAGAGTTGAAAGGGAGACCCGACACCATTCCAGACAAATGGTTGCCCAATCTCTCCTTGGAATCCTCCAGTGATGGAGCACCCACAACTTCTGAAGGTAAAGCCATTCCACTGAATACAGAATAACAGAGCTGAAAAGGACCTTGGAGGTCTTCTAGTCCAGCCCCCTGCTCAAGCAGGAGACCCGACACCACTCCAGAACAATGGTGGCCCAATCTCTTCATGACAACCTCCAGTGATGGAGCACCCAGAACTTTTGGAATCAAGCCGTCCAAAGGCAAGATATACAGAATTTATAATAATTGTGTCTCTTGCCTTTGGAGGGCTTGATTCCAGAAGTTGTACAAAGTGTACTCAGCACACAGCCCTTAATAACTTTGCATTGTTCCCAAGAAGGAGGGAACTTGTTTAAAACAGGGAACATCAGAGCTGGAAGGGACCTTGGAGGTCTTCTAGTCCAACCCCCTGCTCAGGCAGGAGATCCTATAGTACCGTTTCAGACCAATGGCGGTCCAGGCTCTTCTTGAAAACCTCCAGTGATGGAGCACCCACAACTTCTGGAGACAAACGGTTCAATGCCACCCTCTCTGGAAGGGCAGTCTCCTCATTGTAATGCAGGGGTGTCAAAATCAATTTCATTGAGGGCCGCATCATCATTGCGGTTGCCCTCAGTGGGGAAAGGGGTTTGTGGCCAGGGTGGGTGCGGCCTACTGGGTGGGCATGGATGGAGTGGGTATGGCCTACTGGGTAGGCGTGGCCAGCTCTACATCGTTCGCGTCAAGGGTGCCTGTGGGGGCCTGGGCAGGAGTGGGACAGATCTGAGGGTCTCTGGCAGAAGGGGAGGACTGGGGCAAGCGCCAAGGCATGGTGCATTGCTTCATTCCTCACAAAGGGTGACACCTCCCCAGCATGCACCCAGGGGGCAGGGCCGATGCGGCAGGGGCTGGTTCCTCGCTGTTTCCAGACGGCCTTGTGGAGCTAAGACTGAATGCGTTTCAGCATAGATGGCCACCACAAAATTGTACATTGGCTCCCGGCTGGCCTGGGCCAGGGCCAAGGCAGCGGGGGCCGTTCCCTCACTGTTTCCAGGATGGCTTCACGGGCCGCATGAAACCACTTCGCGGGCCGCATCTGGCCCCCGGGCCTTGTGTTTGACATGTCTGTTGTAATGCAAGGGAGTCTTTTGCTTCCAGGGCTTCTGGAGATCCGCTTAATTACAACGTATTTGCAAAACGGGTGTTTTGCTTTCCGTTCCCGTTTTGGAGCCAGCTGGTAATCAACTTGCCAATTGCAGGGGAAGCTTTGCTGCTGAAGGGAAGAAGGCAGCCCTTCTCTGGGAGAAGATGGAGAAATGGCAGCAGGCAAACATCCCCCTTCACCTTCTAAATTTTCGGCTGCTCGAAATGAAGCAGTGGGCCGCCAGCAAAGGAGGCGAAAGAAAGCACAATGAAGTCACGACGTGGGGTCTCCTCCGCACAAACAAGCAGCGCCAATGAGCTACGTTTCCGTCAGTTTGGGTGGCACGGGCGGGATGCAATCCTAGATTGACCTGTAGGTAGGCCGATATTTACTCCTTCCCAGGGATAAAAAGGGGAGATTTAATTTATATTCAGTGGTAGCAATAGCACTTACCAAGAGCACTTATATACCGCTTCACAGTGCCTTTACAGCCTTCTCTAAGCAGTTTACAGAGCCAGCATATTGTCCTCAGCAATCTGGGTCCTCATTTTATCGACCTCAGAAGGACGGAAGGCTGAGTCAACCTTGAGCCGGTCAGGATCGAACTGCTGGCAGTGGGCAGTGAGTTAGCCTGCAATCCTGCATTCTAACCACTGCGCCACCATGGCTCTTCCTTCCTTCCTTCCTTCCTTCCTTCCTTCCTTCCTTCCTTCCTTCCTTCCTTCCTTTCCTTCCTTCTTTCCTTCCTTCCTTCATTCCTACCCTCCTTCCTTCCTTCCTTCTTTCCTTCATTCCTACCCTCCTTCCTTCCTTCCTTCCTTCCTTCTTTTCTTCCTTCCTTTTTTCCTTCCTTCCTTTCCTTCTTTCCTTCCTTCTTTCCTACCTTCCTTCCTTTTCTTCCCTTCCTTTCCTTCCTTTCCTTCTTTCTTTCCTTCCTTCCTTCCTTCCTTCCTTTTCTTCCCTTCCTTTCCTTCCTTCCTTCTTTCCTTCCTTCCTTCCTTCCTTCCTTCCTTCCTTCCTTCCTTCTTTCCTTCCCTTCCTTCCTTCTTTCCTTCCTTCCTTTCCTTCTTTCCTTCCTTCCTTTCCTTCTTTCCTTCCTTCCTTCCTTCCTTCCTTCCTTCTTTCCTGGTCTGCGGTGGTCCCGGCAAAGGAATCACATGGTAAGAGATCAACCACCATCTTTGAATCTGGCTTCTCGAACAGAATAATTGGCTGGGCGATCAAATTCAGCCTGGAGCCGAAGAGATTTGGGGACAATGGCGGGGGAGAAAAGTTTTAAGAGGAGGATAAGAGAAAGGGCTGCTAGCTTTGCACTGAGGAAGGGGCAACGGTAAACTTGGATCGGTCTTTGCCTTTGATGCCACCTTCACCCCTCTGATGGGGGAGAGAAGGCAGACAAGGTTTCTGCCAGGACAGAGGACAATTTAGCTTCTTCTCCTGCGTGACATCAGCGATCAAATTGCAGCCAACCACTTCTTCTTTTTTTTTTTTTTTCAAATTGTCTGGAGCTCAAAACGAGTCTCGGTGGCCAAGCGTCTTTCGGGCTCCTCCTATAAATCGACACGAGCGACCTTGCTGCACAATCGCGTTTCAAGGACACAGACAAACACACACACACACACGCACACAAACACACACATGCCCACACAAAGACACACAGACACACAAAAGAGGGATGCCAGCAACGGCTCTTCCTATGGAACGATTAATAGAATCCGATGAGCTTCAATGCTAAATTGTCTTTGTGTGTGCGTGTGTGTGTGTGTGTGTGTGTGTGTGTGTGTGTGTGTAAGGGGTAAATCCAGGGGTTTAAAAACAGAGGTAGTCCTTGATCTACAACCATTTGCTTAGTGACCGCTCGAAGTTACAGTGGCGCTGAAAAAAAAAGCGAGCGGGGATCGTTTTTCAGACTTGCGACCGTTGCAACGTCCCCGTGGTCAGATGATCGAAATTCAGGGGCTTGGCAACCGGCTCGTATTGATGATGGTTGCAGTGTCCCTGGATCATGTGATCACCTTTTGCAACTTTTCACTTGATTACCAAACTAGGTAACATCATCTGCCCTGATGAAGTTACCTAGTTGGGTCACGAAACGTCTGAAAGAAAACCACCAAGCTCAGAGAGCACCAAGGAACCCATAGATTTTCTCCTTCTCCTTCTGCTCCTCTCCACAAACCTTACTCCCTTCTAGCACTGATGATGTTACCTAGTTGGGTCATGAAATGTCTGCAAGGAAACCACCAAGCTCAGAGAGCACCAAGGACCGCATTGTTTTTCTCCTTCTCTTATTCCTTTCTCATTCTTCTTCCTCTTCATTCCTTTTCCTTCTCGATCTTTCCTCCTCTTCTCCTTCTCTTCCTCCGTCTCCCCCTGTTCCACTCCCTAAACTGCACATCCTTCTAGCACTGATGATATTACCTAGTTGGGTAATGAAACTTCGGCAAGAAAACCACCCAGCCCAGAGAGCACCACAGACCCCGCTCAGTTCAACCCTGAGCTATAAAAATTCTCTTCCATTGGTAACCTTAACAAGGCCACTTAAAGTGCTAATAGTTATAGCCACACAACATGTTCAGCTGGATCCATTGTAACCTTGTTCTCTATGATCCCTGCCTGTTTGGCCAGTTGAGGGTCAATGCTCACATCGGTTCTCGTCTGACTCCTTGAATTAAGAATGAAGGAACCCTAAAAAAAACCTTGATAGTAGTTCAGAATTTCCTTCAGATGTTTCCAGTTATCTCCTTCGGAAGGCTCCAGTTATCTCCTTCAGAAGGTTCCAGTTATTTCCTTCAGAAGACTCCAGTTATTTCCTTCAGAAAGCTCCAGTTATCTCCTTTGGAAGGTTCCAGTTATTTCCTTCAGAAGACCCCAGTTATTTCCTTCAGAAGACTCCAGTTATTTCCTTCAGAAAGCTCCAGTTATTTCCTTTGGAAGGTTCCAGTTATCTCCTTCAGAAGGTTCCAGTTATCTCCTTCAGAAGACTCCAGTTATTTCCTTCAGAAGATTCCAGTTATTTCCTTCAGAAGACTCCAGTTATTTCCTTCAGAAGGCTCCAGTTATCTCCTTCAGAAGGCTCCAGTTATCTCCTTCAGAAGGCTCCAGTTATTTCCTTCAGAAGACTCCAGTTATTTCCTTCAGAAAGCTCCAGTTATTTCCTTCAGAAAGCTCCAGTTATCTCCTTCAGAAAGCTCCAGTTATCTCCTTCAGAAGGCTCCAGTTATTTCCTTCAGAAAGCTCCAGTTATCTCCTTCAGAAAGCTCCAGTTATCTCCTTCAGAAGGCTCCAGTTATCTCCTTCAGAAGGCTCCAGTTATCTCTTTCAGAAGGTTCCAGTTATTTCCTTCAGAAGATTCCAGTTATTTCCTTCAGGACTCCAGTTATTTCCTTCAGAAGGCTCCAACTATCTCCTTCAGAAAGCTCCAGTTATCTCCTTCAGAAGGTTCCAGTTATCTCCTTCGGAAGGCTTCACTTATTTCTTTCAGAAAGCTCCAGTTATCTCCTTTGGAAGGTTCCAGTTATCTCCTTCAGAAGACTCCAGTTATTTCCTTCAGAAGACTCCAGTTATTTCCTTCAGAAAGCTCCAGTTATCTCCTTCAGAAGGTTCCAGTTATCTCCTTCAGAAGGTTCCAGTTATTTCCTTCAGAAGGCTCCAGTTATTTCCTTCAGAAGGCTCCAGTTATCGCCTTCAGAAGGTTCTCCCATGATCCTTTGCAATGGATCCATCCATCTATAAAATTTTCCCAATATTCTCTCTGCTATTGCCCTAAACCTAGCCACCTTTCCTAACTAAGGTTAGGTTTTAGTTTCTGATATGTCATTCCTCCCCACAAATGCCCAAGAAGGAGCATTTTTTTTGCCCATGGGAAATCCTGACTGCATCGACCTAACCCAACATGGTGATACGAATGGATGGATGGCTTCCATGGTTGGCCATCTCTTATTGATCTAAGAAGATACTCAACGTACCAAGATCCATATCCGCAGCTTTGGGCCGATGAGAACAGGGCACGTTCTTGAAGATGGCATCAAGGAACTTCTCCTTCACTTGAGTGATGGTGTCACAGTTCAAGATCTTCACTGGAATCTCAGGGCTGTTCACATTATCGGGGTTCACGCAACTAAGGACCTGCAGGGGGTTGGTTGAAAGAAAGCAAACATAAGACTGAGGTCTAGAGCTTCACATGTAATATATTTGGGTGGGGTTCGAACAAAATTCTAGATTACGTCAAAGGGCTGATGGAAATCTATCGGTTCAATACATCGTAGGCAACTCAGCCATGTGTGAACAAAGCCATTGTACGGTTTATGTCTCAACGTGTTATCTAAACACCACCCATTGTGTTTCATTCGTTCAGATTTAACATGTTATGTGACTGTCTCTGGAGATTCTCAGTCATCCAGGTCATGGTTATCCCAAATATATTTTTTCAAGAGGCAAATAGACTTTCTTGGGTTTTTTTTGTTTTGTTTTTTGTGAGAAGGCTCCACATCCATCTGCACCACTCAGCTGACCCTGAGGACACAGACAAACCTCCAAGTGGCCTCAACGACTCTCTAAAACAGTGGTTCTCAACCTTTTTAATGCCGCCACCCCCAATCGGTCGTAAGTCGAGGAATACTCAACCGGTCGTAAGTCGAGGACTACTCAACTGGTGCAGCACCGTTTGCAGAATGGGACTTTTGGCGGGCTCAGCAGGGCAGAGACAGCCTGGACAATTCCTATTGGCTTTGGAAAGCCAATAGAATTAGACTCTATTCAAGAGAGTCTATTCTATTGGCTTTCAAAAGCCAATAGAATAAAAGGGAGTAGCACAGCTAAGGAAAAGGGGGAAAAAATGGCGGACTGCGTTGTTTGGCGACCCCCGTGAAATGGTCGTTCGACCTCAAATGGGGTCCCGACCCACAGGTTGAGAACCACTGCTCTAAAAGACTGCAAATGTCCAGCTGTCTACAAGGAGTATAAATCTTTCCATTCCCCACTATCTAGTTTCAAGTTTTTTATTAATTTTACAATATTACATTTACATATTTGAAAAGTAGCGTGGCAGCTGAGCACAGTAATTCCGTTACATTTGAATATCATCAGCACAAATCTCAAATTATTACAACAAACTAATTCCCTCTCTTTCCCCCATGATATCTACTGTCATGTTCAAACCAATACAGTTCTTATTCTATTAATCAAACAAAAAAAATACCTTTCTAATATTCATCAATAATCTTCAGTCTATACATATCTTAATTAATTTGACATTCCACCTTTTAGACAATAACCTAGTAAGTTTTTCTTAACTTTAATTTGCCATTGATATTTAAGTTTAACGTTTAATCTTTATCATTTCCAGGTTTTAAATGATCCCAATTTCTAAGTCTCCTATCTCACATTTGGAGCTAATAATTTTTCTTTTCTTTTCTTCCTTTCACTTCCTTCCCCACTATCCAGTCAGAGCTGAAGAAGCTTCTTGGATGAGAAGCAAAATGTCCTCAAAGGAAAAACAAGAAAGTCCAGTTGCCTCTTGAAAAAGTATCTTTGGATCAAGATGCCTCACAAACAGCACCATCTACCACAACTGCAGCCTCATCTTAGGCCACAACAATTTCACACAGAAGTGGTTCCTCTGCCTGGTCTCTGATTGCAAAAAAAAAAAAAACCTTCCATTTTTGCTGTTTACTCGCAGGAAGCAGCTGTCCGGAGTACATGCGGGCGATCTCATGCTCTCTCTGTATTCCAGAGAGATTTTAACTGCTAGAATTCATCCTCTGATTTTCAAATTCTGTCAGTCCTGGCCCTTCAAGGCCAGGGGTGTCAAACTGCAGACCCATGGGCCGGTCGCCTCATGCGTAGCTGCCCCCACCCCAGCTCCGGCAACGCGAAAAACGTCACGACACGTCGTGTGACGTGGTGAATTTGACGCCCGTGTTCAAGGCCATCTAGTTTGCCACGATCCTCACGCTAGCTAGGCTACGCATTTGTTGAAGGCGACTGAAGTTCATGAGAGCTTATGCCTTCTTGATAAAATGTGCCGGTCCGAAAAAGTGATATCAAACTTAGGATTTATTGCTACCGTACATTAATGCAATGCTTTCTCCCCGCGACTGAGTACATCAAATGCCGTTCACAATAACAAAGCAATCTAAATTCTGCCAACTTTACTGCAAAGAAAAGAAGATTATGTTATGGAATCTTGAAACGTGGCTGCCTGTGTTCTGTAGCCCCTATTTGATCAGCGTGTGTTACGACAGATCCTCCCCAGTGCCTTTGATCCCCTTTAGTATTCTCTTTTGATTTAAAGGAAAGCTAGCTAGCAGTTATGAGATATGAAAGCAATGTTCCTTGGCTGGGTGTTCTGCAAGTGTTTTTGCAAATGTTCCATTCTTGTTCCCAGGCTCGGAAAATTCCATTACCTGGAGATTTCTCAGCTCAAATCTCCCAAATCTTTGAGAGGAGAAAGGGAAGAGGGAAGAGAAGAAGAGGAGGTGGAGAAGAGGTGTCTAACATTAATAATTTCTTCAGAAATAGGTTGGAAAGAATCAGAGAATTCGAAACGAAGTATTGTACGCCACCTAGTTACCCTTTTGTGACATGAGCAGCGATCGTCAATGGAAACGTTGGGCGTAGTTGAAGTCGTAAGTCGAGGAATACCTGTATTGCAGGATCCAATCTGGGGAGCAGAGATTTTGAGCTTTTGGACTCATCCTGGAGCCCATCAGTAGGGAATGTCTCTCTAGCAGAGTGCTATTCTCTCTCTCTCTCTCTCTCTCTCTCTCTCTCTCTCTCTCTCTCTCTCTCTCTCTCTCTCTCTCTCTCTCTCTCTCTCTCTCTGCGTGTGTTTATAGGGCCTGTTGTAAGTGGCTTTTTAAGATATTGATTGGGGTGTGTGGATGGATGGCTTTTAAATGGAAGCTAAAACATATAACTGGAGGCTAAAACATATAAGAATGGTTGCTGCAATTTAATGAAGCGAAGGATGAGGGATGACATGAGAGCAGTGTTCCAATTTCTCAGGGGCTGCCCCAAAGAAGAGGGAGTCAAGCTGTTCTTCAAAGCACCAGAGGGAAGGACAAGAAGCAATGGATGGAAACTAATCAAGGAGAGAAGCAACCTAGAACTAAGGAGAAACTTCCTGGCAGTTAGAACAATTAACCAGTCTTCAGAAGCGGTGAATGCTCCAACACTGGAAGTTTTTAAGAAGAGACTGGACAGCCATTTGTCTGAAATGGTATAGGGTTTCCTGCCTGAGCAGGGGGTTGGACTAGATGACCGCCAAGGTCCCTTCCAACTCATTATTATTATTATTGATCATCGCACAGTGAGCCGGATATTCAGACTGGATTTGGTATTTTGGTCTACCTATCGAGTCCTTCCCAAGGACCTGTCATTAGCTGTCGTTTGCTTGTGTTGTCCCCCAAAAATGGGGCTTTTTTTTTTTTTTTGCCCCAAACTGGAAGAAATTGCTGGTTTGGGCTAAAAACATACTGTAAATTGTGGTCACATGACTGGAGGCTGTTGCAAAGAGATGTCAACAGAGGCCATTTGCCAAGCTCTCAAAATGGAGTCACGTGAAACAAAATCTTTGGGGGAGTCCGTGAGCCCTTCAAAAAAATGGGTCGCTAAGCAACCGCTGGCCAATGGCGGACCCCCCTGCAAAGCCAAGACGGTGTGATCGTCACCGTGTGAGGGACGCTCCGCCCCCCCCCTTTTTAACCTGCGTCGTGGCAGCGGTGAAAACGGGGCGGGGCTCTGATTGCCAGGATGGCGGGCGCCATCTTGACTTTTTTGACCCCCCCCTGGTTGTTTCGATTGTTCTATCATGCGAGGAATTTAAAATAAAAATTAAAAAAAAGCTGTGGGAGAACGCAGCAGGAGACCCACCACCGGAAAGCTATGGAATCTCCTTAAAAAATAAAAATAAAATAAAATAGTAATAGTAATAGTAATAGTAGTAAAGTTGGAAGGGACCTTGGAGGTCATCTAGTCCAACCCCCTGCTCGGGCAGGAAACCCTACGCTATTTCGGACAAATGGCTGTCCAGTCTCTTCTTAAAAACTTCCAGTGTTGGAGCATTTACTGCTTCTGGAGGCAAGCTGTTCCACTGATTAATTGTTCTCACTGTCAGGAAGTTTCTCCTTAGTTCTAGGTTGCTTCTCTCCTTGATGAGTTTCCACCCGTTGCTTCTTGTCCTGCCTTCAGGTGCTTTGGAAAATAGCTTAATTCCCTCTTCTTTATGGCAGCCCCTGAGATATTGGAATACTGCTATCATGTCCCCCCTTGTCCTTCTCTTCGTTAAACTAGACATACCCAATTCTCGCAACCGTTCCTTATATGTTTTAGCCTCCAGTCCCCTAATCATCTTTGTTGCTCTTCTCTGTACTCTTTCTAGAGTCTCAACATCTTTTTTACATCGTGGTGACCAAAACTGGATGCAGTATTCCAAGTGTGGCCTTACCAAGGCATTGAAGAGTGGTATTAATACTTCACGTGATCTTGATTCTATCCCTCTGTTAATGCAGCCTAGCACTGTGTTGGCCTTTTTGGCAGCTGCAGCACACTGCTGGCTCATATTTAAGTGATTGTCTACTAGGACTCCGAGGTCCCTCTCACAGTTACTACTATTGAGCATGGTGCCACCTATGCTGTACTTGTGCATTTGGTTTTTCTTGCCTAAATGTAGAACCTTGCTTTTTTCACCATTGAATTTCATTTTGTTAGTTAGTGCCCAGTGTTCAAGTCTGTCCAGATCCTTCTGTATCTGAAGCCTGTCTTCTGGAGTGTTGGCTATTCCTGCCAGCTTGGTGTCATCTGCAAATTTGATGAGTTCCCCATCTATCCCTTCATCCAAATCGTTGATGAAGATGTTGAAGAGTACTGGGCCCAGAACAGAGCCCTGGGGCACCCCACTACACACTTCCCTCCATATAGATGCAGTTCCATTGAGGACCACTCGCTGAGTACGGCCGGTCAGCCAGCTACGGATCCATCTGGTGGTGGTTCTGTCTACCCCACATTTTTCTATCTTGTCAAGTAGTAGGTTGTGATCTACTTTATCAAATGCCTTACTGAAGTCCAAGTAAATTATGTCCACAGCATTCCTCTGATCCACTAATTTTGTCACTTGGTCAAAGAATGCAATAAGATTTGTCTGGCATGATCTATTTTTGACAAACCCATGTTGGCTTTTAGTAATGACTTTGTTTGCCTCTAGGTGTTCGTTGATTCGTTGTTTGATTATCTTTTCCAGGATCTTCCCAGGTATTGAGGTCAGGCTGATAGGTCTGTAATTTCCTGGATCCATTTTTTTTCCTTTTTTGAGGATGGGAACTACATCAGCTCTTTTCCAGTCCTCTGGTAGTTCCCCTGTGTTCCAGGATCTTTGAAAAATATAGTTCAGTGGCTCCGATATCACATCTGCCAGTTCCTTGAGAACTCTGGGGTGTAATCCGTCTGGTCCTGGCGATTTGAACTCATCTAGGCTGGACAGGTGCTCACTAACGATTTTCTTGCCTATCTTAACTTGTGTTTCTGTTTTGTTTTTTGTGGCACTATTTTTGATAGGTTGGTCTGTTTTTTCCCTTTGTGTAAAGACAGATGCAAAAAATGAGTTAAATAGTTCTGCTTTCTCCCTGTTGCTTGTCACCTTCTTGCCACTTCCACCCACTAATGGACCAATCATTTCCTTCACTTTTTTCTTGTTTTTTACATGTTGAAAGAAGCTTTTTTTGTTATTTTTGACTTTGGTCGCAAGCCTCAGTTCATTTTGAGCCTTGGCTTTCTTCACTTCATCTTTGCAGGCTCGGGCTATTTGCTGATATTCTGACTTAGTTATGTTCCCCTCTTTCCACTTTCTATACTTGTCCTTTTTATCTTTCAATTTGTCAGAGAGTTCTTTATGCAGCCATGCTGGTTTCTTTTGAGAGCTGTTATTTTTCCTCTTTGTTGGTATTGTGCTAGACTGTGCTTTTATTATCTCATTTTTCAAAATTTCCCAAGCTTCTTGAGTTGTTTTCCCCTTGAGGATTCTCATCCATGGAATCCTTCCCAAGCCCTCTCTAAGTTTATTGAAATTAGCTCTCTTGAAGTCCAAGACTCTAGTTTTAAAATCTTATTATTGGAATTATTGTTCCAGGGGAGGAAACTCCACCTGGGAGTCTCCCTCCCTCTGCAGCTCGCCAAGACTGTGGCTAACATAAATGCTTCCTCCCTCTCCTTTCTCCTGCCTTTAATCTCCCCAGTGAAATAGATCTCAATAGATCTGCTCCGATTCCTATCAGGAGGGCTTTGCCGGCTTTTGAGATGTTAAGAGGCAAAAGCAGATTAACATCAAACGCGCCAGGCGGAGGAAGGAAGGAAGGAGCGAAGCTTCTAGCCGAGAAGAAATGTAATCAGCGACCCAGAGACCTTTTTTCCTTTCCTTTCCTTTCTCCTTCTTCCCTTCCTTCCTCTCCTTTCCCCCCCTTTTCCTGTCCTCTTTTCTTTTTTCCTTTCCTCTTTTCTTCCTTCTTCCTTTCTTTTTTCCTCCCTTCGTCCTTTCCTTTCTTTTTTCCTTTCCTTTTTCCTCCCTCCCTTCCTTTTTTCTTTCCTTTCCTCCCTTCTTCCTTTCCTTTCTCTTTTCCTTCCTTCTTCCTTTCCTTTCCTTCACTTCCCTTTCCGTTTTCCTCCTTCTTCCTTTCCATTCCTTTCTTTTTTCTTCCCCTTTTCCTTTCCTTTCCCTTCTTTCCTTTCCTTTATCCCCCCTTTCTCCTTTCATTTCCTTTTTCCTTCCTTTTTCCTTTCTTCCTTTTCCTCCCTTTCTCCCTTCCTTTCCTTTTTCCTCCCTTTCTCCTTTCCTTTCCTTTTTCCTCCCTTTCTCCTTTCCTTTCTCCTCCCTCCCTTCCTTTTTTCTTTCTTTTCCTTTCTTTTCCTCCCTTCTTCCTTTCCTTTCTCATTTCCTTCCTTCTTCCTTTCCTTTCCTTCATTTCCCTTTCCGTTTTTCTCCTTCTTCCTTCCCGTTCCTTTCTTTTTTCCTCCCGTTTTCCTAAGTTCCTTTCTTTTTTTCTTTCCTTTCCTTTCTCCTTTTCTTTCTTTGTTCCTCCCTTTTTCCTTTCCTTTCCCTTCCCTTCTCTCTTTGTTCCTTCCTTCTTCCTTTCCTTCACTTCCCTTTCCGTTTTCCTCCTTCTTCCTTCCCGTTCCTTTCTTTGTTCCTCCCTTTTTCCTTTCCTTTCCCTTCCCTTCCCTTTCTCCTTTCCTTTCCTTTTTCCTCCCTTTTTCCTTTCCTTTCCTTTCCCTTCCCTTCCCTCTTTGTTCCTCCATTCTTCCTCTCCTTTCCTTTCCTTTCTCCTTTTCTCCCTTTTTCTTTTCTTTTCCTTTCTTTCCTTCCTTCCTCATTCTGCGCCTGCCTGTCACACAGAGCCATTCCCCCCTCCCCTCCCGCCAGTCCACCAGATCTTAAAACTGCCAAATCTAGCCGGATGGAAATCAGGGATGAGGGCTTTCTGCTTGACACCATATAGGGCAGTGGTTCTCCACCTGTGGGTCGCGACTCCATTTGGGGTCGAACGACCATTTCACGGGGGTCGCCAAACAATGCAGTCCGCCATTTTTTTCCCCCTTTTCCTTAGCTGTGCGCCTCCCTTTTATTCTATTGGCTTTTGAAAGCCAATAGAATAGACTCTCTTGAATAGAGTCTCATTCTATTGGCTTTCCAAAGCCAATAGGAATTGTCCAGGCTGTCTCTGCCCCGCTGAGCCCGCCAAAAGTCCCATTCTGCAACCGGCGCTGCACCAGTTGAGTAGTCCTCGACTTACGACCGGTTGAGTAGTCCTCGACTTACGACCAGTTGGGGGTCGCGGCATTAAAAAGGTTGAGAACCACTGACGTAGGCCAAGCGGCAAGTTTGTTGCACCACCTCCTTGTTTTCTTGCAACCCCAAATTATTATTATTAAAAAGTTTTTATTTTCCATTTATTCATACAAAACACAATATTATTATTATTTTAACTTTAACCTTTTTCTTTTGGGGTCCCAAATGGAGCGCCGTGTCTCCCCCTCCACGGCCCCAATACTCTCCTCCTCGCGGCACCCACCACTCACCAAGGTCTTATAGTCGATCTGCTGCCGGATGAGTTTGTCTTCGCTTAAGGAATAGCGGGCTTCTCCCGTGATGGCATCTATAGGCCCCTTCTCCATTTGCTGCTTGATGGCGCAGAAGAGGGAAAAAAGAGGTTCGCCAGCACATTCCTGCAGCGAGGAAAGAAAGGGGATGAGGGCAAGAACTGGGGAGAAAGCGGCGGATAAACATGTCTTGCTGGGGTCCTCGGGCGCTCTCCGAGCTTGCTTGTGATTTCGCAGACGTTTCATGACCCTACTAGGTAACATCATCAATGCTAGAGGGGAGAGGGGTTTGCTCTCTGTTTATATACTGGAGCATTGCCCTGCCAGTAATGTTGAGAGTGATCCTGGTGGCTCCTTGGTGAGCTACCCGTTTACTGTTCGATTATTTGTCTGATTTGGTAGTTCCTTGACTGAAGCGTTGTTTGCTGTTTGTTTGTCTGGTGTTAATCCCTGCTTATCTGGGTTCTCGTTTCTGTTGAGCAGTGTTTTTGGTCCTTTTGTTTCCTTTTTTTTTTAACGGTCTCTTTTGAGGCACTCTTTCTTTCTTTCTGAGACACCTCTCTGCCAGCAAACCAACCCCAAATAAGCAGGGATTAAACCCCAAGATTAACACCAGGTCAACAATCAAGAGGCAAACAACAGCCTAATCAAGGAAAGCATCAAAAAAAAAAAAACCCACCAAAACTAACAGGGCAAGTCATTTGTATATAAACAGAGAGCAAAACCCACTCCCTTCTAGCACTGATCATGTTACCTAGTTGGGTCATGAAATGTCTGCAAGAAAGCAACCAAGCTCAGAGAGCATCCCACTCCATTTAGCACTGATGATGTTACCTAGTTGGGTCATGAAACGTCTACAAGAAAACAAGCAAGCTCAGAGGGCACCAAGGACCCCATAGTTCTCCTCCTCCTCCTCCTCCTCCTCCTCCTCCTCCTCCTCCTCCTCCTCCTCCTCCTCCTCCTCCTCCTCCTCTTCCTCCCCTCCAAACCCCACTCCCTTCTAGCACTGACGATGTTACCTAGTTGGGTCATGAAACGTCTGCAAGAAAACAAGCAAACTCAGAGGGCATCCAGGACCCCACAGGGCTCCCTCCTCCTCCTCCCCCTCCTCCTCCTCCTCCTCTCCACAAACCCAACTCTTTCTAGCACTGATAACGTTACCTAGTTGGATCATTTTCCTGTACGATATATCCTGTATTTTCCTGTACGATAGATCCATTATTTGTATTGCACTAAATCAAGACAGCCTTTGCCATGTCAGCAAAGCTGCTGCTTTGGGACATGCAACAAGACCTTGCAAACACCTACTAAAGGAGCAGAGTTTACACTGCAGCCAGCCTCTAATACGTAAGATGGCTCTGCTCCTAAGCAAAGGGACTCTCTGCTCGCTTCAGTTTAATTCCCTTCCTTTCAGTCAATCAATTTCTCCAGCCTATTGAGATCCTTTGAATTTAACAGGCAAAACAACCAGGAGTAAATTCCCCATAGTAGGTTTTAAAAAAAGGGGGGGGGGACAACCCAGGAGATTACAACACAGAAAGTGCTGACTCTCACCGTCTTCCCAATCAAGCTTGATTCTCAATCGTTGATTGCTTGATTCTCAGCCTAGCTTGATTGTTAATCATTTCTTGCTCAGCTGTCAATCAAGCTTGATTCTTAATTGTTTTCTGCTTGATTCTCCATCAATTGTTTTCTGCTTGATTCTCCATCAATTGTTTTCTGCTTGATTCTCCATCAAACAGAAAGCAATACCCTAATTAAAGCACTACCAAGAAGGAAATCAAACCCTCAACCAACACTGGCCGGGCCAGCTAATGTATATAAACAGGGAAAACACTCAGTAGCACTGATGATGTTACCTAGTTGGGTCATGAAATGTCTGCAAGAAAACTGCCAAGCTCAGAGAATATCCCACTCCCTTTAGCACGGATGATATTGCCTAGTTGGGTCATGAAACATTTTTAAGAAAACAATCAAGCTTAGAGAGCACCAAGGACCCCACAATGGTGGTCCACCTCCTCCTCCTCCTCCTCCTCCTCCTCCTCCTCCTCCTCCTCCTCCTCCTCCTCCTCCTCCTCCTCCTCCTCCTCCTCCTCCTCCTCCTCTTCTCCGCAAACTCCTCTCCCTTCTACCCCTGATGATGTTACCTAGTTGGGTCATGAAATGTCTGCAAGCAAACAACCAAGCTCAGAGAGCACCAAGGGCCCCGCAGTCTCCTTCCACCATCACAAAACCCCACTCCCTTCCAGCACTGATGATATCACCTAGTTGGGTCGTGAAACGCCTGCGAGCAAACCACCAAGTGCAGAGTGCACCAAGGACCCCCATATATTTTTCTAAACCGCAAGGATTTGCTTAGAGCAAGGGATTCACTTTTAAGAGGAAAATCTGCTGGAAACTGACCGGGTTTCTGTCAGAAACGCCGAGTCCTGCCGAACACGAAGGCCGCAGGCTGAATTCACGGATTCCCCCCCCCCATTTCTCTATTATCGTCCCATCGAGTCTGCACGGCAGTCCTGCCTCTCCCAAACCCATCAGCGTCATTTCAATTTTGTCCTCTGAAAATCCCCAGAGCTCCAGGCCAGAAGCCAAAAGGAGGTGTGTGTGTGTGTGTGTGTGCATGTGTGTGTCTTTCCCTGCAGCACCTGCCTGCCGCTTAATTAGCTTATCTTCGGCCAACATATAGCTTCCTCATGGCTTATCGGCCTGCATTTTGGGAAGAGAGGCAGGAAGGCAAGAAGATGAAAATAGCCTATTGCGAGAGCAGGGCTTTTCCGAGGGCTTTTCGCCTCCCGCGCCGTCCCCCACTTTCAGCCCAAAAGCGGAATCGGATAGCGGGAACCAGATGACTTGGAGGTCATCTAGTCCAACCCCCTGCTCAGGCAGGAAACCCTATACCATTTCAGACAAATGGCTGTCCAGTCTCTTCTTAAAAACTTCCAGTGTTGGAGCATTCACCGCTTCTGGAGGCAGGCTGTTCCACTGGTTAATTGTTCTCACTGTCAGGAAGTTTCTCCTTAGTTCTAGGTTGCTTCTCGATTAGTTTCCACCCGTTGCTTCTTATCCTGCCTTCGGGTGCTTTGGAGAATAGCTTGACTCCCTCTTCTTTGGGGCAGTCCCTGAGATACTGGAACGCTGCTATCATGTCCACCCTAGTCCTTCTCTTCATTAGACTAGACATACCCAATTCCAGCAACCGTTCCTTATATGCTTTGGCCCCTGATCATCTTTGTTGCCCTTCTCTGCACTCTTTCTAGAATCTCAGCATCTTTTTTACATCGTGGTGACCAAAACTGGATGCCGTATTCCAAGTGTGGCCTTACCAAGGCCTTGTAAAGTGGTATTAACACTTCACCTGATCTTGATTCTATCCCTCTGTTAATGCAGCCTAGCACTGTGTTGCCTTTTTTGGCAGCTGCAGCACACGGCTGGCTCATAACTAAGGGATTGTCCACTAGGACACCGAGATCCCTCCAACGCAGCCAACCAATCCACCTACAGCAACTAAGCCAGCACTCCACACACCCCCACCAATATATAGAGACGGCAGCTCCGATCATACTTTGCTCACACAAGCACGAAGCTGAAGACCCCAGCCTGAAGATGACGAGTGGGACCTCGTCGACACGTCGTCCAGTCCAAAATCCACCCCCCCCCAAAAGGCCTCAGAGCAAGAATCTCATAAACATTTTGGGACCTGAAGTTACAAGGCTATAACATTAGGATTCATCACCAGTCTATTTACATGGATCTGCCTAATTGCACGGAAGACGTACGATCAGCTTTACCTGTGTTTTAAATTTTGATGGGATGCTCTGAATATATTTTTGACATGCCGGCAATAAATCACCATGAAAATTGAAGGTGATGAAAAATAAATGTGGGGGGGAAAATGTCAATTTCCTTGCACTTGAAAAAAATCTCAAGAAGCCCATGCTGAGTCTTTAGCAGCATACAAATTGCGATGTAATTCATTAGCAGATGAATGTCTGCCTAACCTTGATTTATTAAGCCTTAACATTATTCTCTTAAGTGTTAAGGCCTTTTATTAGCCTTTGGGGGGGAGCAGGCTTTCTGGAGGTTCTTGGAATGTGCTTTTAGTATATTTCACACTACTTTTACGCCCACAATAAAGTGAACAGATACAGAATAACAGAGTTGGAAGGGATCTTGGAGGTCTTCTAGTCCAACCCCTGCTCAAGGAGAAGATCCTATGCTATTCCGGACGAATGGCTGTCCGATCTCTTCTTAAGATGTTTAAATTCAGTGTTGTTTTTCTTTTGAGCAGGCAGGCCAACACATCCTGCACTAGATTTTGATACAAATCTAGATTTTACAGCAAATCAGAAGCAATCGGCGGAGACGGAAAAGATAATATGGAGAATTCAGCCTCACCCCATTCTTATATGGGTCACAAAAAGAGGACTCCGTGATTTTTTCTGACTTCGCCGCGGGATCCTGCTGTGTTAAACACAGAGGAAAGAGACGTTTTTAAAAAGCAAACTTAGATCATTCTGATGCCAGAAATTCATTTATTTATCGATGTAAGCATTTTATTTATTTTTATCCCACCTTTGTTACTTTTATGCATAATTCAAGGTAGCGAACATACCAAATAGTCCCTCTTCTTCCTATTTTTCCCCCAACAACCCTGTGAAGTGGGTTGGGCTGGGAGAGACTGATTGGCCCTAAGTCACCCAGCCAGCTTTCATGCCTAAGGCGGGGCTAGAATTCACTGTCTCCTGCTGATTGGCCCAAAGTCACTCAACCAGATTTCAAACCTATGGTGGGACTAGAACTCACAGTCTCCAGGTAACTGGCCCAAAGTCACCCAGCTGCCTTTCACGCTGAAGGCGGAACTAGAATTCTCCGTCTCCTGGTGATTGGCCCAAAGTCACCCAACCAGATTTCAAGCCTATGGTGGGACTAGAATTCTCCATCTCCTGGTGATTGGTCCAAAGTCACCCAGTTGGCTTTCATGCCTATGAAAGCCTAGACTAGAACTCACTGTCTCCCGCTTTCTAGCCTGGTACCTCCAGCACTGGATCAACCTCGGCAACTTCAAGATGAATGAGCCTCAACTCAAGCGCCCCATTCCCCAGGTGGGGCATTCTGGGAATCGACGCCCACTCATCTTCAGGTTGCCCAAGTTTCACCAGGCCAGGGGTAGGCCACCTTGGCTCTTTTATGACTCATGGACTTCAACTCCCAGAATTCCAGAGCCAGCCACGCTGAGGGGAAAGGGAGAGGTTTCCAAGCTGAGCCAGGCTGGCTCAGGAATTCTGGGAGTTGAAGTCCACGAGTCATAGAAGAGCCACGGTTACCTACCCCTGTCCTAAGTCCTCCTGTTCTAAGCGGTGAGCGTCCTAGAGCAGGGGTAGGCAACCTTGGCTCTTTTATGACTCGTGGACTTCAACTCCCAGAATTCCTGAGCCAGCCTGGCTCAGCTTGGAAACCTCTCCCTTTTGCCTCAGCGTGGCTGGCTCAGGAATTCTGGGAGTTGAAGTCCATGAGTCATAAAAGAGCCAAGGTTGCCGACCCCTGGTCTTAGAACAGGAGGACTTAGGACACGGGTAGGCAATCTTGACTCTTTTATGACTGGTGGACTTCAACTCCCAGAATTCCTGAGCCAGCCGTGCTGAGGGGAAAGGGAGAGGTTTCCAAGCTGAGCCATGCTGGCTCAGGAATTCTGGGAGTTGAAGTCCACGAGGCATGAAGGGGCCATAGTTTTCCCATGCTGGCTCAGGAATTCTGGGAGTTGAAGTCCACGAGTCATAAAAGAGCCCAGGTTGCCTACCCCTGGCACCAGGTCAACCTGGAAATAAAAGTTTAAAAATCCAAAATAATGCCCCTGCGGAATCAACACCATGAAACAGTGTGATCCAACTTGAGGAAGATATGTGGATTTTAACTCGCAAAATTCCCCAGCCAGTTGCCTTAAGAGTTCTTAAAGTGGAAAAATACTTCCATGAAATAACATGCCAATGAGAGAAGGGCAGATCCCACCAACTCCATTTAGATTCCATCTCTGAACAGGTGAGAGAGCAGCGTCCGTACTTACCTTGAGGAATTTATATAGGAGAAAGGTGAACCAGTTAGTCAGCATCTTCTCTGCCACAGATTCCGTCCTGGAATGAAATGGAACAAGAGAGTGTGTGTGTGTGGGGGGGGGAAATGGCTAATATTTTCCTCCCGTTATCTTCCCCGGATGATTGATTGATCGATCGATCGAGCAATGGATTGATTCCTCCTACTGGCATGCATACCGCAAGAAAAAAGCGATTCTCAGAAGCTCCCCCCCCCAAATATACACATCGAGCTCCAAAGGAATATAAAAATAAAAACCCAACAATACCACAAGAAACAGAAAGAAAATAAAAAAGCGCAATATCAAATGTCTACGGAGATTCTCAGTCCTCCAAGATCCTGGTTGTCCCAAAGGTGCTTTTTCCAAAAGCAACTGGATTTTCTTGATTTTTCCTTGAAGACGTTTCACTTCTCATCCCAGAAGCTTCTTCGGTACGGACGGAAGGGTTGAGAATGGAAGGATTTCTATTCCTGACCGTCATTTAAATTATATATAATATGTAGGTCTTTGGTTATTCGGGTTTTCTCCCGCATAAAATTGGAAGTGTCTTGACGACGTTTCGACGAAGTCCCTTTCGTCATCTTCAGGCTGGTGTTTTCAGCTTCGTGCTTCAAGGAGCTGCTTGCTCCTCGAAGCACGAAGCTGAAAATACCAGCCTGAAGATGACGAATGGGACTTCGTCGAAATGTCGCCAAGACACTTCCAATTTTACGTGGGAGAAAACCCAAATAACCAAAGACCTACATAGAAACACCCGCGAAAGCCTCAAAAAACATATATATATTATATATATATACATATATACATATATATATACATATATATATATATATATATATATATATATATATACACATACACACATATATACATATATACATATACATATACATATACATATACATATACATATACATATACATATACATATATATATATACATATATATATATATATATATATATATATATATATATATATATATATATATATATCTAAAAATATGAAATAAAATGAACACCAGGGTAGTAAAACTATAAAAGTTTAATTAAAAAGCGCCAAGCTTTCGCCGTCCCTGCCGGCATCATCAGGGCTAGAGCGCCAGAAAGTGTGAGAGTTTTTTTTGTAGGCAAGTCAGAGTCTGCGCCCGGCTCCTCGATCTCGTCACCGGTCCTAATTGATTCAACTGCGCTTGATTGGTTTGCTTCCTCCTATTCCTCTTAGTTACGTGTGTGTTGTCGTCTCTCCTCCTTTCTTTCGATTCTGGGATGGGTGGGATAACTCCCCTACCGTTCAAATTATCTCTGTTCCTCAACCCATCCTCCCCATCAGGTTTGAGTGGTAATGTACACCTCCCCTTCCCTTCCCAATCATCCTCCGCTTGGCTGTTCTTTTTGCGATAGCCTTCTCTTTTAACTTTAGTACTTTCTCCTCCCATCCAACTGTCATCTGGACAATCCTGTAAGTCGCTCTGAGTTGGTTGCGATATGCTGGTGATCTGGGATAGGTTGATGGGTTGTTTGTCTACTGGGGGGGCGGTCCCCAGATGTAATTACACCCCTAGTGAGCTGCGGCCCACAGGTTGGGGACCCCTGGTTCAAAGGTCAAACAACGTGTATATAAACAGAAAGCAAACCCTACTTCCTTCTAGCACTGATGATACCTAATATGGTCGTGAAACGTCTGCAAGAAAGCAAGCAAGCTAAGAGAGCACCAAGGACCTTATAGTCCTGCTCCTGCTCCTCCTCATCCTCCCCCCTCCCACAAACCCCACTACCTTCTAGCACTGATGATGTTGCCTAGTTGGGTCATGAAATGTCTGCAAGGAAACAAGCAAGCTCAGAGAGCACCAAGGACCCCATACTTCTCCTTTTTTCTTTCTCCTTCTTCCCCTTCATTCCTTCTTTCTTCCTCGCCTTCTCCCTTCCTCTTCTCTTCCTTAAACCTTTTCCCCTTCTAGCACCGATGATGTTACCTGGTTGGGTTGTGAAACATCTGCCAGAAAGCAACCAAGCTCAGAGAGCACCAAGGACCTCATAGTCCTCCACCACCACCACCACCACCTCCTCCTCCTCCTCCTCCTCTCCACAACCCCACTTCCTTCTAGCACTGATAATGTTACATAGTTGGGTCATGAAACGTCTGCAAGGAAACCACCTAGCTCAGAGAGCACCAAGGATGCCACAGTCTTCCTCCTCCTCCTCCTCCTCCTCCTCCTCCTCCTCCTCCTCCTCCTCCTCCTTTTCCTCTCCACAAACCCCACTCCCTTCTAGCACTGATGATGTTACATAGTTGGATCATGAAACGTCTGCAAGGAAACCACCTAGCTCAGAGAGCACCAAGGATGCCACAGTTCTCCTCCTCCTCCTCCTCCTCCTCCTCCACCACCTCCTCCTCCTCCTCCTCCTCCTCGTCCTCCTCCTCCTCCTCTCCACAAACCCCACTTCCCTAGTTGGGTCATGAAACATCTGTCAGAAAACACCAAGCTCAGGCCCTTGAGTTCAACCCCAAGCCACAAAGATTCTCTTCTATTGAAACACCTGTTTCAAGACATGGAGTGCTCACCTTTGAGGAATTTGATTTGAATTTATGCTTCAAGATCAGGACCGCCAATCCTGCCCTCCACTTTTTTTCACCCAAGACTCTGCTCTTTCCTGTACCATCCACGGGCGACTGCAGAAAGACACCCAACCCTGGGCTGTGGGACCCCCCCCCCCGACAGGCTTACCTCCGAAGTAATAACTTGGGGTGGTTTTTGCTCTCCAGGTTCTTGTCAATCAAGTCGGCCAGGAGCTGCTTGAGAACGTCGGTGGCATATTCTAGCTTGCTCTGCAGCACCGTCATAATGAGGGAGGCCACATTGCCACGGTCTCTCATGGAGAAGCTGCGCTGAGACTCCAGGGTGCGGATGAAGGAGAGGAGGAAGGCCTTGTTGTTGATGAGCTGGGCAAAGAACTTCAGACCTTTCTCCACCCGTTCTTGCCGATAGCCAGGAACCTGCCCCAAACAGAGAAGATCCAGAATAAACAGACTGGGAAGAGACCTTGGAGGTCATCTAGTCCACTGGTTCTTTTTTTTTTTTCCAAAGATAATTTTTATTTAATTTTTTCAAATTTTACAAAAACAAAACAATCTTCCCCCCAACTTCCCCAACCCTCCCATTCCCTCCCCGGACCTTCCCAGAGCTGAATATAGGCTTAATTAAAATTTCATCAAAAAATCTTAAAAAAAGATATAAACCATAAATGAATCTAACATTAGTTAGAAATCTAAATACATTAATTAGAAAAATTATAAAATGATTAACAATAGTATATATATATAAAAAACACGAATACAAAAAATAAATGTTTAGAAAGGAAAAGAATAAAAAAAAGGAAAAAAGAAGAACAAAAAAAATATTCCATTTTAAATATAAATTGTTAAAAAACTAAGTAATATTTTTTTATATCCAACTTATGTTGTATAAAATCTATCCATTTTTTCCATACCGCAACATACTTCTCTTGCGATTGATCCTTCAAGAAAGCCGAAATCTTTGCCATTTCCGCCAAATAAGAAACTTTAAGAAACCACTCTTGCAAAGTAGGCAAAGATTCCTTCTTCCAACATTGCCCTACTAACAACCTTGCGGCTGTAATTAAATTTAACATCAATGTAATCTCCTTAGTATCACAATCAATAACGATACCTAACAAAAACAATTGTGGGTAAATTTTACCCTCCTTCTAAAAATTCTTTGAATATTCCACCATATCTTTATCCAAAAGGCTTTTATATTTTTACACGACCACCAGATATGATAATAAGTAGCATCCAAACATCCACATCTCCAACATTTAGGCTGTAAGTCAGGATACATACGAGACATTTTTTGTGGATGAAGGTGCCATCTGTAAAACATTTTATAAAAATTCTCCCTTAAATTCTGGGCTTGTGTAAATTTAACATTTCTCACCCAAATAGTTTCCCAAGTATCTAATAAAACTGGTTCACCAAAATTTTGTGCCCATTTAATCATTAGTCCAGTGGTTCTTAACCTGGGCGATATTGCCCCCCAGGGGGCGATTTCATTTTTCAAGGGGGCGATTGAACGAAAAGGGGGCGATATGGGGGCAATGCATCTTAAATTTCACTTGTAATTCAATCATTAAAGGTTAGTGTGTTTCTTTTCGGGCATTTCACTTTCTTGCAATTGAATTTTGCTTTCAGTGGTCATTACATTTCAGTGTCTTGAATAAATAATAATGAAATATAGGTATCACAAAGTTTGGGAATAAAGTGACGGGTGGCACCAAAAATTTTCACACAGTTGAGATATGGGGAAAAAGACTGGAAATAAATTATTTGCATCGATATGTCCTGAGGACAATTTTAAAGGAAACCAAAAAAAGTGTTTGCATAAATGGAAGAATTATTTCCTATGTTGTGATTGAGAGGTTATGTTGGGGGAGGGGGGCGATGACAACTTCCTCATTGGCTCAAGGGGGCGATTCGTTCAAAAAGGTTAAGAGCCACTGATCTAGTCCAACCCCTTGCTCAAGCAGGAGACCTTATGCCATTCCAGGCAAAGGGCTGTCCAATCTCTTCTCAAGAACCTCCGGTGATGGAGCACCCACAATTTTTGTAGGTAGGTCGTTCCACTGATTAATTGGTTTTCATGGTCAGAAAATTCCTCCTGAGGTCTAGATTGCTTCTCTCCTTGGCTGCTGCAGCACAGTGCAAGCTCGTATTTAAGCAGTGTGTCAACGCTGCAAATATTGTATATTCTTGCTTTTGACAATATGCAGAACTGTCTGGTATTTATGGGGTTAATACAGAGCAGAAGGAGGGTGGGGGCAAAGCCCGGGAAAGAAAGGGGAAGAAAACCTTTGACCTTCACACTAATTGGACAATGTGATATATGTGTAAGGACCCACCCCACTTTGCATCTTAAGAAGACAGAACTCTTGGAATAATTCTTCCAACAGGAATCCTTTATTAAGAAAAAGTGGTTGCAGGCGGGCTAGACAGGACTTGGGATCCAAACTCTCCCATTCAAGGTTTTAAGGGGTTCCCCAGCAGTCCCACCCAATCACCCCCCCTTCCAGTGATAGTTTCAGGCATCACAATTCCACCCCTTTGATGCTTTCTTCCGTCCTTCTGGATGGAGACTTCAAATAAACTACATGAAAGGTAAATAGCCCCTTTGTCATGTTAAGGTTCTTTGGTGCTATTTACATTCAAACTCTTTGAGGTTGCAATAAACACATTCCTTCATACTGAAGGAAGTGAGGGCCATAAAGCCCCTTTGTTCTCCCCCTTCTCTCCCTCTTATGGCAGAATCCAGAGAAGGCAGAATTGGGGTTTTCTATATTTGATGATTAAAGATGAAATATAATTGGATTCTGACAATATGAAGGCTGATTTAGGGAGGGAACATGCTGATAATTTAATTGCTCAGAAGAAGAGAACTTAGATCTTAGCATTCCTCCGTTATGCCTGTGCTGACATTTGGCAACAATAAAAGACTTTTAGGAAAATAAATGCCTGGAAGTTCTTTGAAGTGTTTCGTTAGCCGGAACCATAACACAGTGATTCAAGCTCTTCTCCAAAGCACCTGAAGGCCGGAGAAGAAGCGAAGGATGGAAACTTATCAAGGAGAGAAGCAGCCTAGAACTGTGGAGGAATGTCCTGACAAGGAAAACAATTAATCAGTGGAAGAACTTACCTCCAAAAGTTGTGGGTGCTCCAACACTGGACGTTTTTAAGAAGAGACTGGACGGCCATTTGTCTGAAATGGTCAAGGGTTTCCTGCAAGAGCAAGGGGTTGGACTAGAAGACCTCCAAGGTCCCTTCCAACTATATTATTCTGTTATATGGGGTAAGTATATTCTTTACGTCCATGTGAAAGTTCAACCAAACCAACCTATTCCTCTACCTACCTTTCTAGTTGGTTGGTTAGTTAGTTAGTTGGCTGGTTGGTTGGCTGTTTTTTTTTTTTTAAGGCCTTCAGTTTCTTTTTCAACTCAAATTCTTACCTCCAGATCCCTTAGTACTGGATGGTCTTCAATCCCGGGGAAAAGGACTCTCATGGTATACGTCCGATAATCCAGGAACGGTATTCCTGCTCCATCCAGATCACTGGTCAATTCATGGATATCTGTCTGAAGTTCTGCAAAAGCTGTGATTGGGGGGAGGGGGGAGAAAGGGATGCTGTTTTTTTAAAAAAAGAAGAACGAACCTTCCGAGGGAAAATAGTCCTCGACTTACAACAGTTCGTTGAGTGACTGCTCAAAGTTACAACGGCACTGACAAACTGTGACTTACGTCCCTTTTTCAGACTTAACGTCCACTGCAGCATCCCCGTGGTCCTGTGATCAAAATTCAGACAGCTGCCAACCGGTTCATATTTATGACCGGTTGCAGTGTCCCATTTTTACGACCTTTCTTGCCACAGTGGTTTTAAGCCAATCACCTCCATCGTTCAAAAAGGAAATGTTAATACTCCGGCTTGCTTAGAAAACGAAACTGCTTGATGGGAAGATGGACTGTGACTTTTCGACTGCTTCCAGAGGGAATTAGAATCTTCAAGACACACACACACCCCGTTCACCACTGGGTTTACGATCGTCCAAAAGTCATCTTGGGTCACTCCCAAGTGCCCCCCCCATTCAAAACCAGGGAATGACACTTCCAAAGAACCAGCTTTAGCAGTAAAATCAGCAAATCATTGGCCAGAGGAAAAAAGAAAGCCTTACCCTGCAGCAGACATCTGGAAAAGGAAGGTGTTACTCGTTAGGTTTTGTCTTATGCTAGTTAAGTGTGTTGTGAGGGTGCAGCCAATAAAAAGCCATTTCTGAGCGTCTTACTTCTCCCCCCAATACAGGTAGTCGTCAACTTACAAACACAGCTGAGCTCAAACTTTCTGCTGTGAAGTGAGTCTTTGCCCCGTTTTATGACCTTTTTGCCAGAGTTGTTAAATGAATCAGGCAGTCATTAAATGAAGGCGGCGGTCATTTAGCAAATGCGGCGGCTGTTAAGTGAACCTACTATTCGCTATGGTAGTGTAAGGACCCACTTCAGCTAACCACCCAAGAAAGCACGACGGCTGAAACAGCCGTTGTAACTGGCACAGCCGCCTGTGGATTGGCTGGATTTCAAATGGACATTATGACCTTGGTGGGAGAAGGAATCTTGCTTGCTTAACTATACCGTTTCGGGGGAGCTTTCCCCCAGATCTTGCCTTGACTTCCCTACTGTCACTGACCCCTAATAAAAGTATCCTTTTGAGACAAGGCCTGTTTCAAGAGGTCTACTTTCTTGGGTGGTTAGCTGAAGTGGGTCCTTACATAAGGCAAGATCGGTCAGAAACTTGGGATAAATGCTGGTTTGGCGCAAAAATGTCATCATTTTCAGCCACACGACTATGGGACGGTGCAAACAAGCATACATGTGGGCTGGTTGCCAAGTGCCAAACGCAATCATGTGGTCATGGGAGGGTACGGAAAACGCCACTGGAACATCAAACCCAATTCATGAATACGAAGGACTTTGAGTATTTGAGCAATTCTATAGGACAGGGGTGGGCAACCTTGGCTCTTTTATGACTCGTGGACTTCAACTCCCAGAATTCCTGAGCCAGCCGTGCTGAGGGGAAAAGGAGAGGTTTCCAAGCTGAGCCATGCTGGCTCAGGAATTCTGGGAATTGAAGTCCATGAGTCATAAAAGAGCCAAGGTTGCCTACCCCTGTCCTAAGTCGTCCTGTTCTAAATGGTGAGCCTCCTAGAGCAGGGGTAGGCAACCTTGGCTCTTTTATGAGGCGTGGACTTCAACTCCCAGAATTCCTGAGCCAGCCACGCTGAGGGGAAAGGGAGAGGTTTCCAAGCTGAGCCAGGCTGGCTCAGGAATTCTGGGAGTTGAAGTCCATGAGTCATAAAGCGGCCTAGGCCTAGGGCAGGGGTAGGCAACCTTGATGCTTTTATGACTCATGGACTTCAACTCCCAGAATTCCTGAGCCAGCCATGCTGAGGGGAAAGGGAGAGGTTTCCATGCTGAGCTATGCTGGCTCAGGAATTCTGGGAGTTGAAGTCCACGAGTCATAAAAGAGCCAAAGTTGCCTATCCCTCCTCTAGGAGGCTCACTGCTTAGAATAGGAGGACTTAGGCCAGGGGTAGGCAACCTTGGTTCTTTTATGACTCGTGGACCTCAACTCCCAGAATTCCTGAGCCAGCATGGCTCAACTTGGAAACTTTTCCCTTTCCCCTCAGCGTGGCTGGCTCAGGAATTCTGGGAGTTGAAGTCCACGAGTCATAAAAGAGCCAAGGTTGTCTACCCCTGGTATAGGGTTTTCTGCCTGAGCAGGGGGTTGGACTAGAAGACCTCCAAGGTCCCTTCCAACTCTATTATTATTATTATTATTATTATTATTATTATTATTATTATTATTATTGTTGTTGTTGTTGTTGTTGTTATTATTGTTATTGTTATCGTTATTGTTATTATCCAAAGCCTTTCCCTTTGTCTTGTAGTACCTTCCTTGCACTCCAAAGCCACCCTGGACTCCAGATTGTCCATCTGCATCTGGAGCCGCTTCAGCGTGAGGTCACTTTCCCGAGACTTCCGCTTGTAGGCGATCAAGACGGCCACGATGAAGATGATGAGGAGGCCGCCGGCCACGGCAATGCTGACAATGGCAGGCAGGCTGAGCGGGCTGTCGGAGGAGATGTTGACCATGCCCGGGGAGAATTCCATGCCTCCGACACGAGCCTGTGGAGAGAGTGAGGGATTCAAGGCCAGCGTTTCTCAACCTCGGCCCCTTTGAAGAGGTATGGACTTCAACTCCCAGAATTCCCCAGCCAGCAAGTCACTAGCTCTCACGGTCCACGCTGACTGGGGAATCCTGGGAGTTGAAGTCCACTCCTCTTAAAAGAAGCCGAGGTTGAGAAAGATGGCAGTAATCTAACTTGCTAAGCCCAAGACACGCTTCTAGCGTTCACTTGTCCTGCCGAAAAATGAAGTCACTAGAACTCATGATCTTCTCCTTGTGAAAGATGAAATCACACATACGCAAACTCGACGAAAATGTGTTTTTTTCTTTTGCACTTTTCAATTCATGTTTTCAATGAATTTGTCGAGTTTTGTTTTGTCTCTGCTATTTTTTTTCCCTTTGGGATTTTGTATTTTAATCTTCTGAATAAAATAAAAATTGAGAAAGAATGAAGTCACTAGATCTCATGGTCCGTGCTAGGTGGGGGAATCCTGGGCGTTGAAGTCCATACCTCTGAAAAGGGCCAAGGTTGAAAAACACTGCGTTAGTCTCACTTGCTAAGGTCAAGTCCCACCTCTACATTCTCTTCTCCGTGTGAAAGACAAAGTCACTAGTCCTCATGGTCCCTGCTGGCTGGGGAATCCTGGGAAATTAAGTCCACTCCTCTTAAAGGAACCAGAGTTGAGACAGATTGCGGTAATCTAATTTGCTAAACTCAAGACCCATCTCTACATTCTTTTCTCCTTGGGAAAGACAAAGTCGCTAGTCCTCATGGTCCCTGCTGGCTAGTTCATCCTGGGAATTGAAGTCCACTCCTCTCAAAGGAGCCAAGGTTTGAGAAAGACTGCACTAATTTCACTTGCTAAGCTCAATTCCCACTTCTAGCGTTCTCCGCTCCTTGTGAACGATGAAGTCACTAGATCTCATGATTCAAGGGGTGACGGAAAGAACACGGGAACCTCACAGGTGAAATTGGAGGATCTAAAATATTAAGGATATTAAAACCAATATTAAAAGCGAGGTTCTTTCGTTTACTAGCCACACAGGAATAAGTGAAGGACAATAAAGTATGCACACAAAAAAAGAGGAATCGTGTCAGTTTGTTCTCTTCGCAGGAGATCATCGCCCTCCGGGTTCCAAGAAATGAGTGACTTTTTTCTTTTCTTTTCAGGAAGCACGCCAGCGGATATTCCTTACCGTGACTTTATGCCGTCCTGTAAGATTTGGGGATTCACACAACAGTTGGACATCAGAGACGGTGACCGCGCAGGGCTTCTCCCCAATCAGCACAGTGTAATTCAGCTTGGCGTTCCCTCCAGCCACTGGTGGGGTTAAGTTCTTCCCCTAGGCCAAGAGAAACCACAGGGGTGGACGGTGAGATTGGCAGTGTGTACATTTAATCAATCAATCAACAATAAGCCGACTGATCAATAAGGGCTGGACCGAGGAGTCAGAAGAAATTGGAAGAAAGGGGTCATTTTCTATCACCTCCCTGTAACACAGGGCTCTCTTGGCAACTTTATGACTTGTGGACTTCAACTCCCAGAATTCCCCAGCCAGCATAACTGGCTCGGGAATTCTGGGAGTTGAAGTCCACACATCTTAAAATGGCCAAGGTTGAAAAACACTGCTTTAAAGACTTGTTTTCTGCCTTTCTGTCCCATTGCCAGACTCTTGACTAATAACTGCAAGAGACCCCCAAACTACACATCCCACAATCCACTAGACACCCTTGCTTGAGCTTGTGTAGACACCATTGCTTCAGCTGAGAGACTGAGGAATACTGGGAGTTGAAGTCCACACATCTTAAAATGGCAGAAGTTGAAAAACACTCCTCGAAGGCCTGGAGGAGATCTCCCAGGCCTAGAACGGCCCTCCAGAAGAATATGGATGTCCCTTCCGGAAGTCCTTCTAGGCCTCGGAGGCTTGGAGGAAGCCTCCCAGGCCTAGAACGGCCCACTGGAAGTATGTGGATGTCACTTCCAGAAGTCTGTTCTAGGCCTCAGAGGCCTGGAAGAGGCCTCCCAGGCCTATAACAGCCTGCCGGAAGTACGTGGATGTCACTTCCGGAAGTCCGTTCTAGGCCTCGGAGGCCTGGAAGAGGCCTCCCAAGCCTACAACAGCCCGCCGGAAGTACGTGGATGTCACTTCCGGAAGTCCGTTCTAGGCCTCGGAGGCCTGGAAGAGGCCTCCCAGGCCTACAACAGTCTGCCGGAAGTACATGGATGTCACTTCCGGAAGTCCGTTCTAGGCCTCGGAGGCCTGGAGGAAGCCTCCCAGGCCTAGAACGGCCTGCTGGAAGTACGTGGATGTCACTTCCAGAAGTCTGTTCTAGGCCTCGGAGGCCTGGAGGAGGCTTCCCACGCCGAAAACGGCCCACAGGAAGTGCATGGATGTCCCTTCCGGAAGTCTGTTCTAGGCCTGAAGGAGGCCTTACAGGCCTAGAACGGCCCACAGGAAGTACGTGGATGTCACTTCCGGAAGTCCGTTCTAGGCCTCGGAGGCCCAGGCCTGCATCCACGCAGAGAACCGGTTGTTCAGGTATTTGAATCCCACTACTGCATATGGTTCGCTTAACAGCTGCAGTGATTCGCTGAGCAACCGCAGCAAAAAAAAAGTTCGTAAAATGGGGCACGACTACTGAACGACTGCCTTGCTCATCCGTGGAAATGTTGGGCAGAGTTGAGCTCGTAATCCAGGCCCCCCCCCTACCTTCAAGATCAGAGGGGTTCCAGGTTTCAGTTCCAAAATCCCGGGGGGACTGAAGGCCTCAAAGACAGGGTTTGGGTAGTAGGTGAAATTGGTCTTATTGAGGATCAGCAAGGAGAAGACATTGTCCAAGACAAAGCCAAATTCATCCGGCCGCTCGGCAAGATCAGACGGGTTATTAGGGTCCACCGTCAATGCCGGAGCCTGGCAGACCATTTCCGTCTCGTTCTGAACTTCGCAGACCTGAAAACGAAGAACGGGGAAGGTTGAGGGGCAAATCCGTACTTCACGTCATCCAACTTTAGAAAAGAGGAACGCATTGCTTCCGTCTCTACAATCGGCCCTGCAAAGAGGGGGATCGATCCCTAAATCTGCACAAATATTGAGATGGAACATTTGGGCTGTCAGTGAAGACTAAGTCTTCCTTGAAGTAAGTCAAATTCAAACCACACACAGACGGAGAGAGTCAAAGACCACCTACAATAGAACCGTCTATGACAGTGGTTCTCAACCTGTGGGTCGGGACCCCATTTGGGGTCGAACGACCATTTCACGGAGGTCGCCAAACAACACAGTCCGCCATTTTTTCCCCCCTTTTCCTTAGCTGTGCTACTCCCTTTTATTCTATTGGCTTTTGAAAACCAATAGAATAGACTCTCTTGAATAGAGTCTAATTCTATTGGCTTTCAAAAGCCAATAGGAATTGTCCAGGCTGTCTCTGCCCTGCTGAGCCCGCCAAAAGTCCCATTCTGCAAACGGTGCTGCACCAGTTGAATAGTCCTCGACTTACAACCGGTTGAGTAGTCCTCGACTTACGACCGGTTGGGAGTCACGGCATTAAAAAGGTTGAGAACCACTGGTCTAAGACTCTCCGTGGTTCTCTAAGATTCCCAGGCCTAACTTGATCTTAACAGAATAACAAGGTTGGAAAGGACCTTGGAGGTCTTCTAGTCCACCCTCTCCCCTGCTCAAGCAGGAGAGTCTATACCAGATGTAGTCAACCTTGGCTCTTTTATGACTCGAGTCATAAAAGAGCCAAGGTTGACTACCCCTGCTCTATACTATTCTGGACAAATGGCTGTTCTTGAAGACCTCCAGTGTTGGAGCACCCACAGCTTCTAGAATGAAGGCCTTCCAGGGACTGATTCTTCTCACGGTTAGGAAACTTCTCCTTAGTTCTAGGTTGGATCTCCCCTTGATAAGTTTCCAGACATCTTGAGGGACTTCCGGAAGGATAACAGAGATGGCGCTGATCTCCTTTTGGAGGGTGGGGGATGTTTCATAGGATGGGCACCTACAGATAAGGCTGAAGAATCTCAAGAGGATCGTTTCTGAGATGTTTCCCCCCTTCCGTTTTCTGCTCTGGGCACAGCTGTCTCTTCTCTGTCTGTTGGCCAAGAACAGACTGACAGAATTGGAAGGGACCTTGGAGGTCTTCCAGTCCAACCCCCTGCTCGGGCAGGAGACCCCCATATCCTTCCAGACAAATGGTTGTCCAATCTCTTCTTAACATCCTTCAGTGTCGTGGCACCCACAACCTCTGGAGGCAACCCGTTCAATCTGAGTAATTGTTCTCCCCGTCAAGAAATTCCTTCTGTCACTCAAGGTCTTGAAATTTGCAATCAAAAGAGGACTTGATGACCTCGGGAGAGACTTGAGCGAGTCACATTGTCAACTCCTTGCATTCCTTAAAGAAGCACACCTTCACACAGGTGTCCCATGCAGTGGAGACTTCTGGAAAAGACTTCCTCTTCAAGATAACAACAACAACAACAATAATAAAGTTGGAAGGGACCTTGGAGGTCATCTAGTCCAACCCCCTGCTCAGGCAGGAAAGCCTATACCATTTCAGACAAATGGCCGCCCGGTCTCTTCTTAAAAACCTCCAGTGTTGGAGCACCCACAACTTTTGGAGGTAAGTTCTGCCACTGATTAATTGTTTTCCTCATCAGGAAATTCCTCCATAGTTCTGGCTGTCCAGTCTCTTCTTAAAAACTTTCAGTGTTGGAGCATTCACGCTTCTGGTGGCAGGTTGTTCCACTGGTTAATTGTTCTCACTGTCAGGAAGTTTCTCCTTAGTTCCAAGTTGCTTCTCTCCTTGATCAGTTTCCATCCGTTGCTTCTTGTCCTGCCTTCGGTGCTTTGGAGAAGAGGTTGACTGCCTCTTCTTTGGGGCAGCCCCTGAGATGTTGGAAGGCTGCTATCCTGTCCCCCCTCGTCTTTCTCTTCATTGATCTAGACATACCCAATGCCAGCAGCCGTTCCTTATATGTTTACCCCAACTTGTGGACACAATGCAGGTAATGTCAAAAGGGGGGGGGACAGTGCTAGAAAACAACCTTCTTCTTACCACGAGTAATTTGAAGTCCCACAAAAGGTGAAACCCCCCCTAGATGTTGGCCAGAACACTCTCTCGGCCAATCAACCTCTTCCCACGTTCAGCCTTTTAAGTATCCTATTTTTCAGTTTAATCAACTCACATTGATGTGTTCTTTCCCACCATACTTGGCTCGGATCTGAGGGTTCTGGATGAGATCCAGGTTGGTACCCCAAACCGTGACAGGTGTATTTCCACTGATGGATAAATAAAGAAGAATTGAAGAAAAAAAAAAGAAGGGACAAAATTAGCAGGAACTTTGCAACCCACCTCCACGGATGTTTCTCAAGGTGAAGCTAGCAAAGGCAAATTCAGAGGGTGAATCAATGTGTGTCTCCCAATGAAACAAATTAAACAATGAAATTCTGGCCAGCCACTCAAAATCAGTCCGCTGTAAGCCTCATCAATTGGTTCCCACAAAAAGAGCTAATTCAACAACTTCCAAATGGTAATAGTATTGTTGATTCATTCATTCATTCATGGATTCATGCATTAGAGTCATTGTCGTTCATTCAATCATTCATAGATTCATTCATTGATTGATTTGATTGACATGATTGATTCATTCACAGATTCATTAATTGTTCATTCATAGATTCATAGGATACATTCAGTCATTCAGTCATTCATTTATAGATTGACTGATTGGTTGATTGGTTCATTCATAGATTCATAGATTGATTATTCATTCATAGATTTAGGCAGAGATGCATAGATTCATTCAGATTCATTCATAGATTCACTGACTGGTTGATTGACTTGATTGATTCATTCATAGATTCATTGATTGATTGTTCATTCATAGATTCATTGATTCATTCAGACATTCATTCATAGATTTGTTGATTGATTGGTTAGTTGACGATTCATTCATTCGTTCATTTATAGATTCATTTATTGATTGGTTCATTGACTTGACTGATTTATTCATAGATAGATATATAGATAGATATTCATTCATTCATTCATTCATTCATTCATTCATCCATTCATCCATTCACAGTTTGACCTATCAGCATACATTGCACTGAAAGTAGACCACATACATCAGGGGTCTTCAAACTTGGCCCTTTTATGACTTGTGGACTTCCAACACCCAGAATTCCTCAGCCAGTGTGCCTGCCTGAGGAATTCTGGGAGTTGGAGTCCACAAATCATCAAAGGGCCGAGTCTGAAGACCTCTGGTTTATATGATCCATGCTGGCTGAGGAATTCTGGGAGTTGAAGTCCACAAGTCATCAAAGGGCCAAGTTTGAAGACCCTTGGATTACAGGAAAGTTATGTTCTTGAATTTTAACGAGTGGAATGAATTTCTTGTTAAGGAAGGACGCCGCACAATACAAGAAGTCCTCAAATTACAACAGTTCATTTTAGTGACCGTTCAAAGTTACAACGGCACTGAAAAAAGTGACTTAGGACCGTTTTTTACCCTTATAACTGCCGCAGCATCTCCACGGTCACATGATCAAAATTCGGACACTTGGCAACTGGCATGTACTTACGACGGTTGTTGTGTCCCGGAGGTCACGTGACTACCTTCTGATGAGTAATGTCAATGGAGAATCCAGATTCACTTAACAACCAGGTTACTAACTTATCACCTACAAGTGATTCACTTAACAACTGAAGCAAGGAAGGTTGTAAAAATGGGCCAAAACTCACTTCAGAAATGTCTCACTTAAGGACAGACATTTTGGGCTCAATTGTGGTCGTAACCCGAGGACTAGCGGTATGGTCGGGATGTTCGCAAAGTTACAGCTAAAGAAACTGAAAGTGGTTAGGGTCCCCCAATAAAGAAGAGACCGCAATAATAAAAGGATGTTCAGGGCGCGAGTTAAAGCGCATTATGGACTTGGTTATTTATATAGTTGGTTAATGTTAGTTAGATTATGATTATTATAACTGTAACCCTGTACTCAGCTCTGGGAAGTGGGGAAGGGAGAGGGGGGGTTTAGGGTGGGTTGGTTTTGGGGTTTATATTGTAACTTTTATAAAACTCTTCAATTAAAAAAAAAAGGATGTTCAGGGTTTGCTGAAGTCTGCAAAACTTTTAATTGAGGCAAAATAAAGGCAGCCACGGATCGGCTGAAAGCCGGGGACTTTTACCAAATTGGAAAATCTGGAGTGATCCTGTCTCTCAAGTGCATTTGCTGTCTAAGAAATAAAAAAAAAACCTTCTTGTTTTTTAAAACAAAAACATAAATATAGCCCAGGCTTGAATTTATTCCGCTGTAATCAAACCACAATCTGTCCTCTTAACAACAGAAAGCTCCTTCAGAGAGATTTTTTGAAATAAACCCATCCCCAAATCTGTTCAACTAGGGGAATGAAGATTTTTTTTAAAAAAAAACCTCCGAGATATAATTAGGCGAAGAGATGTGTGAATTTCAGTTTATCTCCGTTTCTTATTTTCTCCTTGTCTTACCTTCGCTCAACCCTGTATCGTTTTCCACTTTTTTTTTCTAAGACACCTCCCGCTCTCTCAATTCATCTGCATTTTTATGCACGTTTGCCTAATATATGCAGTTTAAAAAGATGTTTCTACTTACAGAACGCTCCTTGTACATTTAAAAAAAAAAACCCACTAATATATGCAAGGGCTGGAATGTATCTGTTCTTGGAATTTCACACCCTCGGCTCAAATGCTCTCAGGACGCATTTTACAATGTGCATTTTGAAACCAAATTGGATCAAGCCCGCCTATGCAAAACTGGAAGCACTTTTTACATGCAAATTAATACAATAATGAGACCGAACGGAGCACCTGTAAAAATATCATGGGTTGGGGGCGGGGGAAATGACTTCTCCATTCATATGTCCTTTGAGGACAGGGTGTTTCTATTCCAGCTTCCTAGAACTGTGCAGATATGTTGAAGTTGTTCTCACTGGCTGGAGTGAATCGACTAGCTTGGAATTAAAAGAGTTTGGTGAAGTAGTGCAAGCAATAGGCTAGAAAAGTGGGAGGTTGCCAGTTCTGGTCCTGGCTGAAGCCCGAAGTCAGTTAGGTGATTTTGGACCTGTCCCTCTTCCTCAACCACTAAGAAAGGAGAAGGGCAAATGGTTTCTGAAAACGTTGCCATGAAAATCGCAAAGACTTAACTCTTGGCAATACGGACAACACAGAGGAGGTGGAGGAAGTAAAGGAGGAGGTGGAGGAGGAGGAAGAGAAGAAGGAACACCCACATTACACCTATCCTCCGCGAGCTGCACTGGTTGCCTATTGGTCTCCGGGTCCAATTCAAGGTGTTGGTCATTACCTTTAAAGCCCTATATGGCTCAGGGCCAGGCTATTTGCGAGACCGCCTACTACCTCATAGTTCCCTTCGTCCGGTTAGATCCCACAGGCTGGGCCTCCTTCAGATCCCGTCGGCCAAGCAGTGCCATTTGGCGGGGCCACGGAGGAGGGCCTTCTCTGTGATGGCGCCCACGTCTTGGAACCGGCTCCCCCCGGAGATTAGGACCACTCCCACCCTGTTGGTTTTCCGCAAGCTGCTTAAGACCTGGCTTTTCCGGCAGGCCTGGGGTTTATAAAATCTGACCCCTGGATGACTGTCTTTGTATTGTTTGTTTTGTTAAGTTATATTGTGTTTTTATTGTTAGCCACCCGGAGTCCTGCGGGAGTGGGGCGGTTTATACATTTTAAAAATAAAATAAATAAATAAGGAAAAAGGAGATGAAGGGAGAAAGTAGAAGGAGAACAGAAGGAGAATAAGGAGAAAGGAGAAGAAGAAAGGTGGTGGAGGAGAGGAGCTACAGGTGAAGGAGGAGATGAGGGAGAAAGAGGAGAAGGAGGTGAAGGAGGAGGAAAATGAGAAGGAGAAAGGAGGAGAAGGAGGTGGAGGAGAAGGAAGGAAAAAGGAGATGAAGGGAGAAAGGAGAGCAGAAGGAGAATAAAGACAAAGGAGAAGAAGAAAGGTGAAGGAGGAGGGGAGCTACAGGTGGAGGAGGAGATGAGGGAGAAAGAGGAGGAGGAGAAAAGAGGAGGAAGAAGAGGAAAATGAGAAGGAGAAGGAGGAGAAGGAGGTGGAGAAGGGGAAGGAGGAGAAGGAGTGAAGGAGGAGGTAGAGGAGGTGGAGAAGAAGGAATGAGATGGAGTAGAAAGGAGGAGAAGGAGTGAAGGGTGGAGGAGGTGGAGAAGGAGATGAGGTGAAGGAGAAGGAGGAGAATGGGAAGAAGGAGCAGGTGGAGGAGATGGAGAAGGAGAAATGAGAAGGAGATGAAAGAGATGGAGGAGAAGGAGAAAGGAGGTGAAGGAGAAGGTGGAGATGGAGGAGGAGAAGAAGAAGGAGAAGAAGAAGAAGGAGGAGGAGGTGATGAGAAAGAAGGTGCTGGCTGGGGAACTCTGAGAGTTGGTCCACCCATCTTAAGGTCACCAAAGTTGGGAAACACCAAGCAAGGGGCTGACCTCTGCTTCTGAAGGGGCTTCTTGTGGGCCACCATTTCTAACCAATGAAACATCATTGGGGTGAAGGCCATTCATCCGGAATGCCCAACGATCTGGAATCAACGGGATAAAGACGCTCTCCACCGGAGAGCTAGCTAGCTTCCTTCGCCTCTCCCTCCCTTCTTTCCTTGACATATTTCTCAACCAGCCCCACCCTGAGACGTGTCCCCCGTGAAGGACGCGTCCTTCCTCACGACCTCCTTACCTGACAATGCTCCATTCGGGCTCAATTCTCAAAATGGTTGGGTCCTCCACGTATTTGAACTTGAGCTCCTTGTGCATCTTAGCCTTCTCCAGCTCCTTGCGCAACGTGGCCTTGTCCACCTTCACGGTGACATCCACCATGTTCTTCTCCAAGACGTTCCCAAAAGCCGTGGTGTTGCAAATGATGTGTTCTGCCGTCCTCCTGTCGGGAAAATAAAAGGAAGTTAAACCAGCCGCAGAAAATGTTGAAAGTCTAGGCCAGGGGTAGGCAACTTTGGCTCTTGTATGACTGGTGGACTTCAACTCCCAGAATTCCTGAGCCAGCCATGCTGAGGGGAAAGGGAGAGGTTTCCAAGCTGAGCCATGCTGGCTCAGGAATTCTGGGAATTGAAGTCCACGAGTCATAAAAGAGCCAAGGTTCCCTATCCCTGGTCTAGGAGGCTCACCGCTTAGAACAGGAGGACTTAGGATGGGGGTAGGCAACCTTGGCTCTTTTGTGACTCGTGGACTTCAACTCCCAGAATTCCTGAGCCAGCATGAGGGAACTATGGCCCCTCATGACTCGTGGACTTCAACTCCCAGAATTCCTGAGCCAGCACGGCTCAGCTTGGAAACCTCTCCCTTTCCCCTCAGCATGGCTGCCTCAGGAATTCTGGGAGTTGAAGTCCACGAATCATAAAAGGGCCAAGGTTGCCTACCTCTGTCCTAAGGAGATTCTCCGTCGTCCAAATCACCGTTGTCCCAAAAGTACTTCCCCCCCAAAAAAAAAGACAACTGGATTTTGTTTTTCTTTGAAGACGTTTCGCTTCTCATCCTGGGAGCTTCTTCAGTTCTGACTGAATGTTATCCCAAATGTGCTTTTTTCAGGAGACAACTGGACTTAAGTTGCTTTTTTTTTTTGAAGACGTTTCGCTTCTCATTCCAGAAGCTTCTTCAGGTTCTGACTGAAGGGTGGGGAAATGGAAGGATTTATACTCCTTGCAGACAGCTGGTCATTTGCCTCCTTTTAGAGCAGTGGTTCTCAACCTGTGGGTCGGGACCTCATTTGGGGTCGAACGACCACTTCACGGGGGTCGCCAAACAAAGCAGTCCGCCATTTTTTCCCCCTTTTCCTTAGCTGTGCTACTCCCTTTTATTCTTGAATAGAATCTAATTCTATTGGCTTTCAAAGCCAATAGGAATTGTCCAGGCTGTCTCTGCCCTGCTGAGCCCGCCAAAAGTCCCATTCTGCAAACGGGGCTGCACCAGTTGAGTAGTCCTCGACTTACGACCGGTTGAGTAGTCCTCGACTTACGACCGGTTGGGGGTTCGCGGCATTAAAAAGGTTGAGAACCACTGTTTTAGAGAGTCTTTGAGGCCACCTGGAGGTTGAATCTGTTCCAAGAAAGCTCCACACCCAACCTGCGGCACTCAGGTGACCTTGAGGACCCAGATAAATCTCTACTTTTGTGAGTGAGGGGGAGGGGCATATCTAAATTTGATGTTTAATTAATTAATTAATTAATTAGTTCAGATAACAAAGTTGCACAGGCCAACGGGGGACTAGAAAGAGACGCTTTGTCTCCCGACTGGCTGGGCAATTTCTTGAGCTACCGAATTCCTACTTTCCCCGCTAATCCTCGATTTAACAACCATCTGGCAGCCCCCAAAGTTCCTGTTGCTAAGCGAGACGGTTGTTCAATGAGCTTTGCGCCCGCTTGCGACCTTCCTGGCCCCGGTGGTGAAGGCGGATCCCTGCCGCCGTTCAGCCGGTCACAC